AAAAAAAAGAATCTTGGAGGGAAAGGTAGCAGTTGGCCCTGCTCCCTTCCGAGGGTCAGAGAAGGTTCCGCGTGGGCACCCCTCCCAACAAGGAAGGACAATGGCTTCGGACGCCCCATCACCTGGCACCCCCAGGCAGGGTGCCGCCTTCCCCAAGCCTGTGGGCGCCCTGCGTCTGCTGGCCCAGCGTATTTTGGGCCAGGGGAAGAAAGCAAATGAGTTCACGCCACCTCCCTTCTCTCCAGGGCGATAATTATTCACGGGCAGATAAAACCCCAGCAGGTTGCAAGCAAGAAAAAAAAAAAAAAAAAAAACCCTGCGAATCGTGCTCCACGTCCACACCAGCATGCGTGGGCGATGAAGTCAAGGCCGCTACATGAAAACCGGAAATGCTTCCCCCTTGCAGACTCAGGCCGGGCGCTGCACGGGGCACATTAGGTTCATTTTCTGATTACAAACTGTAGGGCCTCTGCGACGCAGGGAGTTCTATCCCCACTTTACAGACGGGAACGCTGAGGCTCAGAGAAGTGAAGTCGTGCAGAATCATGGGCTAAAACAGCAGGCCTTGGTGTTCAGCCCAGCTGAACCCAACTGGCTCTGGGTAATTTCTAATACCTTCCACATGATATTTATAGCACGTATATTAGTTTCCTGCGACTAACAAAGTACTGCAGACTTGGTGGCTTAAGACAACAGAAATTGGGGCGCCTGGGTCGGCTAAGCGCCCTACTTTGGCTTAGGTCATGATCTCGGGGTTCGTGGGTTCGAGCCCCACATCCAGGCTCTGTGCTGACAGCTCAGAGCCTGGAGCCTGCTTCAGATTCTGTGTCTCCCTCTCTGTCTGCTCCTCTCTCTTTCTCTCTCAAAGGTATATAAACATTAAAAAAACAAAAAAAATCACAACCATTTATTCTGTTAAGGTCCTGGGGGCCAGAAGTCGGAAATCAAGCGCCGCATTCACCCTGGAGGCCCCAGGGAAGATTCTTTTCCTTCCCTCCTCTGCACTCCTTGGCTTACGGCTGCACCACCCTGATCTCTGGTTGTGTGTTCACACTGGTTGTGGGTTCACACCGGGTGTGTGTTCTGTGTAGGTCAGACCTCCCCTCTGCCTTTTTCTTACCGGATCAGTGTGCCTGTATTTAGAGCTGCCCCCCCCTCCCCCGCCGCCTCCCCGCCCCACCCCGCCGCCTGGGGAACCCAGGAAAATCTCTCCATCTCCAGACCCTTAACTTAATCACACCGGCAAAGACTCTTATTCCCATAAGGTCACGTTCACAGGTCCCCGGGATTAGGGGGTGGGTGTCACCAGGGGGCATGTTCCAGACTACCACGCCCATCTCGCCATTCCTTCCTCAGTTCATTCCCTCACAACCCTTGACTGTGTGTTGCGCATTGTGCCAGGGGCTGGAAGCTACAAAACCAAGAAATGACGCAGGGAGTCCCCACCCTCAGGGACCTCTGTGGGACCTCTCATACCCACTCCCCAAGCGCTCTCGTGCTAGATAACAGGAGAAAGGGACACAGCGGCATTCAAAATAGCGAGCACGGACACCTACATGGATCAACCCAGCTGACCCTCACGACAGCCTTGTCCCCGTCTGTCGGGTGGCTTCACTTGTCTGCACCGAATGCTACAGGAGTAGAGCGGAGAGGCAGTCAAGGTGAAAGAGAATGTAATCAGGGAAGGCTTCCTGCAGGAGGTGCCTGTGCCACTTCCAGGGCACCTTGGAAGGACGGGCTGGAGGAAGTGGCTTAGGGGAGGAGGTGGGTGTGAGGAGGTGCCCCAGGCGGAGGGAGGCAGGGGGAAGCTGGGATGTTCCACGACAGGGCTGAGGAGAGACAGGAGAGGCTGAAGCCTGTTGAGGCTTCTCCCCCAGAGAATGGGCTGGACTCCCCACTGCTCCTTCCCAGGTGTGCCTATGAGGTTGTGGCAGCTGTTGGAAGTCACCTGGGGACACCCGGGCCACCTGGAGGAAGCGGAGGAGAGGAGGGGGGCGCCTGGTCTTCTTGCTCGCTGCTCCCCCAAAGGGGCCCCTTGCTTCCCTGACATGAGTATTCTTTTGCTGTAGGTGCTGAGACTGCGCTTTGAGCTCTCGGCCCAAAGACTCGGGAGCCCCGGCGCTCTGGTCCCAAGTGGGCCTCGAACACCCTCCCAGCCTGGGCCCTCAGTGCCAGCCCCAGGTGTCGTGACTTTCCAGTCATCAGCAAGGACCGGGACTGTGGCTACTCCTTCCTCTATGTCCCCCCAGCCTGCCGATACATCAAAGGCACTCGACAGAAAGAACGAGACCACGCAGAGTGGGTCTGCGATGTGCCCTGCTGGCCCTGGCCACCCAGTGGGGAGCAGTGGACCCCGTTCCGAGCCCACGCCTTGTCGGGGAGGGAGGCATCCAGCATACCGTCCGCCGGCAGAGGTAAACCTGCAGACAGGGACCTGGCCGAGAGGAGTCGGGGGTCAAGGAGGGCTCCCCGGAGGAAGGAGCTTTTGAACTTGGGGTGACTCTGTCTTTGGGAGCAGAACCCCTATTCTAACTGTGGGCTCCGGCCTTGGTTCCCCTGGGATTCGTTCATGCTCAGATCAGAGGCTCCCACTTGTGCCTGCTGAACTGGGTGTCACAGGGCAGGTGACTCGGCATAGGCAGTCGCCTTGCATATGTGAGGTCCAAGGCAGGTACTGTTATATCCCCATTGTACAGATGTGGAAACTGAGACCCAAAGCGTCTTGCTGAGGAACATGCAGCTAGCAGAGAAGCCCACGCCCTTCCCAGAACCCAGCCCGCCCCCAACCTCCACCCCCACCCCCTGACCTCCCCCCTTTCCCTCATTCCCACATCTCGGCTTCTCCAATCCTCAAACTCAAAAGTCTCTCTTCCCAGGAGGTGCTCCCAGAAGAATTCAAGTATCAAGGGGGAAAGGGCAGAGAAGGACCACATTCCTCCCCGGAACTGGGCTGGACAGAAGGAAGAGTGGCCCACAGTCAGAGAGTCCACATGGTGGTCCCACTCAGAGTGAGCAGAAGACCCGAGGCCACAGAAGAGAGGCCACACGGTGCATGTGCAAGACTTGCGGCCAGCCCACCCCAGGCTCCCTGCCTGGGTCTCTGCGCGACTCCTGGTCCCTGCTGGGGCTTCTCTGGGACACACCCTTGGCTGGTAACAAGGACCAGAAGGTGATTGAGACACATCCTGTTCTGGGGGCGCCTGGGCGGCTCAGTCGGTTGTGCGTCCGACTCTTGGTTTGGGGCTCAGGTCGTGATCTCACGGTTCATGGGTTCGAGCCCCACTCCGGGCTCTGTGCTGACAGTGCAGAGCCTGCCTGGGATGCTTTCTCCTCCTCTCTTGCCCTTCCCCGACTTAAGAGCTCACGTGCTCTCTCTGTCAAAATAAATAAACTTAAAAAAATAAAAAAGACACATTCTGTCCTGATGGGTGTCTTCCTGGCATGGGGGGGGGGGCACCCCACAGCAGAATTTTAAACCTAAGTAGGCACCTGGAAGAAAGCACCAGAACGCAGACTAACAGGCAAGATGGAGTGCCATCAAGGAAGGCTTCCTGGAGGAGGAACCCTTTTTTTAAATGTTTATTTCTTTCGAGAGACAGAGAGACACAGAGAGAGTGCACTAGAGCAGGGGAGGGGCAGAGAGAGAGGGAGAGAATGGCTCGGCGCAGAGCCCCACACAGGGCTCAATCTCATGAACCCGTGATCTCCACCTGAGCTGAAATCACAAGTCAGATGCTCAACCAACTAAACAAAGGTTCCCAGTGAGGAAACCTCTTGACTGAGCTGGAAAGCATAAGTGGCAGCGGACTCAGCCAAGGCCTGTATTTGGGACAGGTTGGGGGCGAATGGTGCCACATGGGCCTGGCACACTGAACAACACGGTAGACGGAGGGAGGAGGCAGGCCAGACCCTGAGGGCCCCGGGGGGAGAGTTATCACGAGGAGCCCCGGTGGAGGCTGAGCACTCCCGGGAGGAGGCTGAGGTCCAGGCCTGGAGGCCAAGGCCGGCTCTGGGGTTCTGTCCCGGCCTCTGAGCTTGGACACCCAGGGCTGCCAGAGAGGGGTGAGCAAGGGAACCCAAGGGAAGGGAAGGAACTCCCCTGAGGCGTTTTGTGTCTGCAAACCTGGTTGCTTGCTTCTCCTTCCTCCTGCCTGGCCCAGGCCCTCTCTCCCCCTCCCCTGTCGCTGGGCGCCTATTCGGGCGGGAGCTCTGTTGCCTGCTCTTCGTCTCGGTGTCCTACTCCCAGCAGGCCCCACAAGCGCGGCTGGGGAGGACCGCGTGGTCCAAAGCCTGGAAACTGTTCCAGAGGTCCGGAGTAGCCAGTCTAGGCGCCTCCAGACCCGGACGGGATACAAATCTTAGCCCTTCCTCTCACAAGCTGTGTGGCCCAGGGTAAGCAGTTCAGCCTCTCTGGTTCTCAGCTTCGGAGGAGTGTACTGATCGAACACGCTAGGAGGAAACACCTGGCACCCGCAGAGCGCCGGGTCCTGCCGGGGACGCGCGCAGGGCGCGGACGGCGGGGGGCCGGCGGGCGGCGGGGCGGGCCGGGGGGCGCAGGCGGGGCGGGGGGCGCGGGGCCTCCCGCCGGCCTTCTCTTAGGGGCGGGGCCTTCGGGCAGCTGCGAGTTTCCGGGCCCCGGCCGAGCGCCCCGCTCCGGTTTTCGGGGGCGGGGGCGGGGGTAGGGGTGGGGGGCAGAGGGAACCCGAGTCGGCGGGGAGGTGGGGGAGGGTGGGGGTGCGGCCCGCCCCGGAGGAGCGCGGCTCCTTTTGTCTGCAGCCTCCGCGCCGCCGCCGCCCCTCCCCGCCCGCCCGGAGCGCGGGGCTGCGGCGCCGCCGCTGACACGGCTCGGCCGCCGCCGGGCGGAGGCTGCGCGTCGCAGAGGCGCGCGGGCTGGCGGCCCGGAGGGCGCGCGGCGGCGGCGATGGCGGCGGCGGCGCGGGGCGGGCTGCGGCGGCCGCGGCGGGCGGCGCGGGGCTCGGGCTAGCCGCGGGGCCGGCCGGATGGCGGGCGGCGCGGGCTGGGCGGGCGCCCCCGCGGCTCTGCTGCGCTCCGTGCGCCGCCTGCGCGAGGTGTTCGAGGTGTGCGGCCGCGACCCCGACGGCTTCCTGCGCGTGGAGCGCGTCGCGGCGCTGGGGCTGCGCTTCGGCCAGGGCGAGGAGGTAAGGGCGCCGCGTCCCCGGGTCCCCACCCCCGCCACCTGCCCGGGAGGGGCCCCGCCGGCGCCAGCCCCTTCCCCCACCGCCCGAGCGGGGCTCCCACACACACCCCCCTCCCGGTCTCCCCCTCCCCCTGCCCGGCCGGACCCCAGCTTTCCCCCACCCTCCCCGCAGCGCCCGCGGCGGCGAGCGTCACGCGGCACGCCCAGGGTGCCTTCCCTGCCCACCTTCCCTCCCCCGCAGTGCGGGGCCCTCGGATCCGTGCGAAAACCCACTTAGGGGGAAGGAGCTGGCCGAACCCGGCCTCGGGACCCCCGCCCTGCATCCCTCTCCCTGCGGAGACAGAGCCGGCCCGGGTCTGTGGGGACGGAATTCCAGGACGCGTGGGGGGGGGGGTGCGCCCCGCTGGCCCAGCCAGGGGGTAGACGGGCCACCTGGGAGCGCGCTGCAGCCCGGCTGCACCCCCCCACCCCCCGCCTCGCACGCAGGAGGATGACACCCGGTGACCCCGTCGTTCGGGCTCCGAAGGGCAGGCCTGGCTGGCAGCGGGCTGTGGTAGCTGCGGCAGGCCCGCGGGAGCCACGCTTGCGGCGTCTCCCGTGGAGGCCCGCGTGTGTGGGGGGAAAGCAGGGGTTCTGTTGGTTGCGAGCGGGGCGAGAACCAGCGGGTGGCTGTTGCCAGTGGGGTGGCCCGAGGAATAGCGAGAAATGCCCCGTCCCCTCATTGCACGGCCACAGGGACCGGTGACTGTGTCTGGGAGGGAGGGCAGGGCACCCACCCCGCGGGGGAGCACCCCGGTTCCCGTGTTACTGGCCACTCTGTCGTGCTCAGGGTTTTCTCCCGGGAGCGGAAGCCCTGAGTTTCCAAGGCCACCTAAGGCCTCAGGTTCTGCGTTGGGGAGCATGGGCACTGAGGGCATCCGATGGGCACTGGCTGGCATTCTGTTCCTCGGGCACCTGGTGCCTAGCATTCCAGAACATGGGCGAAGCCGGGACTCGGTTAGGTTGGACCCGTGCCTCGCTGTCACCTGGCAAGGGGGAGATGAGAGATAACCAGTTCTCCATGGCACCTGGGCATGGCCGGGACCTGGGAGCAGTAGGTGGCAGAGGATGAGGCAGGTATCAAGTTGAGGACTCCGCTACCCCATCCGAGGAAGCTCGCGCTGTGCTTCTTGTCGCAGTCCGGGTTTCCTGCAGCCATCAGGCTCCTTCCCCTTCCCCAAAGGCCGGCCAAGCCCCTCACCCTCTCCAGCGGCTGCCTCCGGCTGCTTCCGAGGCGGGCCAAGTGGCCGCTCAGCTTGGGGAGAGCCCCTGCACACCTCCCCGGAACACAGGCTACAGGGAGAAGCCCCTGCCTGGCTCTGCTCGAGCCTGGAGTTCCAGAGGTTCTGCCAGCAGTTCTGTGCAGGAGGCCCCCTGAGCCGCCAGCACGCGTCGCCCCCTTACCCCCCGAGCTGGACAGCTGCTCCTGTTGGAACCCTCCCCCTCCTGCCCTGTTAGAGCCAAACCCGCTTGTCAATTAGTCATCTCGGTTCTGCACAGGGACTCACACGGTCGCTCTTCTGTGCGGCAGCCTTTAAATATTTGAAAAGAACACTCCTGGCCCCTTCACTGCTTCCCGTCTAGTCCTTCCTGTCTTCACGTCTCCAGGTCGAACGCGCAGCCATTTCCATATGACCTGGCAGGGGCCAGATCTCCGCCTTATGGCCCTGAGCTGCCATCCACAAATTTGCGTGACTCAGTTTTCCTAGTAATAATGCAGAGGCCCTGGGTCAGGAGCCCCCTAGGAGGCTGCCTCGTGCAAGGTGCACCACACCCTCCATTCATATTAAGTTTCTGGCCACCCAGACCCCCAGGATTCCCCTCAGTCCTGGAAAAGGGTCAGTGACTTCTTTCTTTTTACAGCATAATCTTAGTAGAGAAGCGGTTTCTATGCAGTGTAGGAAGTTAGAAATATGGGCATTATGTTCCCATCTCCCAGGCAGTGCCACTGACACCTTGGTTACATCCTTCCAGAACTGTCTCTATGCTTATACGTATAAGCATATGCTTATACTTATAAGCATATGTATTTCCGCCATAAAATGAGAGCGTGCTGTGCATTCTGTTTTTTAACCTGATTTTTTCCCCTAGCAGATGATCAGCACTTTCTGCTTCAGTAAACTTTCATCTCGCTTAATATGCAGACCTCATGCGCATTTCTCTGTTTGGCCCCAAAATGCCCATTTTGCTGCTTTGTTTAAACCAGCTTCCTCTCTAGAATTGTGCGTGCATCAGATGTTGTGACCCTTAGGTCTCTCCACTCGAATGCAATTCCTTTTTTAAAACAAATTTTTAATAATCCTGGTTTGTCGTCGAGACCAGGCCTCGGGTCTGTGTCAATAATTTCTCGACTCAAAGCCTGTTATTGGGCCCGCTACCGCCATGCTACCTGCAGCGTTAGAGAGGCAGGTGCTTTAGGTCTGAATCCACAGGCTGACTGTAAACACAGGGCAGGACCACGGACAGGGCCTAGTAGGGGCCGTCTGCTCACACTGCATTGTTGATTGAGACCCACAGACAAACATTCTGCTCGCTACACAGGACAGTGGAGGAAAGTCACTTCTCCACGGTTAGAGATCCCTTCGAAATTCTGTGTGCTTGGACAGTTTCTGTTTCATTTGTTCAAAACCCGGGTGGAAACCTTCATTTCCCAACCCACTAGCGCCCTAGGGTGGACAGCTGTTGTTCATTAAATATGGGGCTCAGTGAACCTCTCAGAGCTGGTTACCCACGTTTTGCCAATCCCTCCAGAACACCGGGGAATGCCAGAATCCTTTGCACTAATCCAAATACACTAGGTTGCAAGGTGTAAAGGAAAATATCCATGAGGCCATACTAATATAAATGCTTGAATGAATGAATAAGTTAGTAGGAAAATTTTCCATACAGAAGAAATTCAAATAATTTACGTAGATGATTTGCCACCAAGCAGGTAGAGCCTGACTCCTCACCCCTCGAAAGAAGTGTCAGACGTGCACAGTGACTGCCTTCTAAAGGCATAACTTTTCAGCAGAGAAGCCTGACTAGCACTGCCTCAGCCGCATGATCAAGGTCAACACCAACCGCGATAAGTCACATAGACAGTGCATACCCTTGATGCGATGTGCTAAGAGGTGCTTTACACCTGTGGTCTCCCTCCCCAATCCTACAACCCCAGTCTAGTCGTGAGTGAAGTATCAGACAGATCCCCAACTGCAGGGCATTCTGCATGACACCTGATTAGTATTCCTTAAGGCTGCCAAGGTCATCAAAACCGAGGAGAGCCTGAGAAACCGTCACAGCCAAGCAGAGCCTGAGCAGACGCGACAGCTAAATGTGAGGCAGATGGGATCCTGGAACAAGAATAGGACATTAGGCAAAACCTAAGGAAGTCTGAATGAAGTATGCATGGGAGTTGGTGGCGATGTTATGTATAAATTAGGCTGGCCTCTGACATCCCCCGGATTTATTGATTTAGGAATCAGAGTAGGAGAGAGAAGACAAGAACCTTGGGTAAACACACAAGTACCCGTCATTGAAACGCCAAGACTGCCCTTTTAAGGACTGCAAAGATGGGGGGAGAATGCCACTGTCCCAACTCAGCATACGTGGGACTGTGTCCTTTCTGAGCCTCTGTTTACTCATCCATAAAGTGGGGATGATAACAGTCCCCATTCCATTTGGTTATCGTGGAGGTTGAGCCAGCTAATATATGCGAAGTGCTTGGCCTGGGATCTGCACCGAGTAGGACCACTCTTCAGGGTTGCCTCCGCGGCTGCTGTTGTCATGATTATTTTTGAAACACCTGCAAGCGCCGTTGAGAGGCCGTTCTGGAGCTCCCTGGGGTTGAGGTCAAGGTCTGGGACCAGCCTGTGGCGCTCTCAGCCCACCCTCCTCGTCCCGCTCGGATCTGCCAGTCCTTGCGCCCTATCAGCAGTCCGAGGACAGAAGACCTCAAAAGCCACCAGAGATGGGCCACCCTCCCTGTCGTACATTCCTCTCCTTTTTCCAGTTTGGAGACCATCCTTGCTAGAAAACTCGGCGACAAAAGCAGCTGAGTGGCATCTCTGCCGTCTGTTAACACAGCACCGTCCCCTCTGCGCAGTGGGCCTGTCCTTCCCGCTGGGAATGGGGGGCCACTCCCACGTCTAAAAGGGTGTCGTTAATCATCTGGGGGAGGTAACTCAGCTGTAGCCAACCAGGACTAGTCGCTAATTTCCCCTTTCTTTGCGTTTGCCCCAGATACGCCCAGAAGAATTGGGACATGATGCCTCCTTCTTCGTACTGGGCAGGAGATGAAATAAGGGTCCCAGCCGGGTTCCCCCAAGTCCCCATGTCCCCTCTGCACTCACAAGGGAGATGCCGATGCTGCCCGATTGTCTGAGCCGGCAGAGGGCTTGGGGTGCTGGCACAGGGCGAGGCTAACCAGGAGCCAGCCCTGGGGTGGGCTGCCAGGGGCAGGGGAACCGTGAACTCAAGCCGGGGTCTGCCCCGGAGAGGGGATTGGCCAGAAGCATCCGTGTCCCCCACACCGATGGCTAGAGCGTGGGAGGCGGGGAAGTGATAGGAGGCGAGGAGCCGGGTCAGGAAAGGCTCAGCCGCTCCCCGTGGACAGTGGGGAGAGCCAGGCAGCAAGATGGCATGTGTGTTTGAGAGAGAGGCTGCGTCTGGCAGGGGACTGTGACTGTGACACGCCGTCAGGGAGGAAGAGGGACCAGACTTGGGTAGGGGCGGGGGGCAGACCTGGCAGGGGCCCAGAAGGCCTGCAAACCTGGGTGGTGCAAGCTCTGTTGACAACCAGGCCCCTCTTTGTGCCCCGCCCGGCTGGGGACACGCTGCAGGTGACTGAACCCACAAAGCAGAAGGAGGGCCCGGGTCCTCCGAGCCTCGAAGAAAAGCTGGGGGTGCCTGTGGCCCGTGAGGGGGGAGCAGAGCAGGAGTGGGACAGAGAGACCTCCTCTTTCCTGCACTTCCGCCCCCACT